ATTTTAACATTTTGTGAGTTTATTAATATAATTTAAAATGAGTTCATGTACATTTTAACATGGTCTTGGGTTTTTATTTCTAATATAATTATGAATGGATATACAAATAAAAAAACAACTATTTGTAGTCCTTAATTTTAAATACCAAAAAGTTTTATTCCTGTCTCCTCCCTTTCTCTTACCTCTCTCTCTCTCTCTCTCTCTCTTACACACACACACACACACACACACCCCAACACACATAAGTATACTCATGGTCTTGGTCCTTCCCCTATTCCCAAACAATTTCCAGTATTGTACCAGTAATATACAACTTAATCATTATAGCTTAATAATGTATTTATAATATCTGAAAGTGCTATTTTTCCCCTAAGTTTTTATCCTGAACTTACTTTTTATTTAATGAAATATTTATTTTTCAAAATCAATTTTGCTTATTATGATAGTCAAGGACTCTAACTATTTTAATTGAAATTATGTTTTACTAGAGTCTGGTGCATGAAATTCCTGCATGGGAGGGGGGTGTGTGTCTCTCAGTCCAACCTGCATCCTCTCCAATCTGGGACCTCTCAGGAGATGTTCGACTGCCAGGCCTAAACAGGCGGTCGGACATCCCTCTCACAATCCTGGACTGCTGGCTCCCAACTGCTCACCTGCCTGCCTGCCTGATCACCCCTAACCACTCCCTTGCCAGCCTGATCGACACCTAACTGCTCTAGTGCTTGCCTGATCATCCCCAACTGCCCTCCTCCCCAGACAGCCTGGTCACACCCAAATGCCCTCCCCTTTATTAGATAGGGTTTTTTCTTTAACATATTGGACAGCCCTAACTGGTTTGGATCAGTGGATAGAACAACGGCCTGCAGACTCAAGGGTCCCAGATTCGATTCAAGGCCATGTACCTTTGTTGGAGGCACATACCCAGTGGGGACTGAGCAGACGGCAGCTGATTAATATTTCTCTCTCATAGATGTTTCTAGCTCTCTATCCCTTCCCCTTCCTCTCTGTAAAACATCAATAATATATATATATATATATATATATATATATATATATATATATATATATATATATATATATAAAAGAAACATTTCAGATAGCTCCATATCTACCTGGCTGGTGTGATTCAGTGGCTGAGAACCCAGGCTGGGCTGGGAGGGGATCTCTGCGTGGGTCCGCATGCTTCTGCCACTTTGAGACCCCAGGCTGGAAGCTTGGACTCAAACTGCCACTTGGTGCTGAGCATTTCCAAGTGGCTGCAGGTGGGGCAGCAATGTTCCTGCCCCGCCCCGCCCCCAGCCACTTGGCGCCTGTACTCATAGGCTCTGTGTGGCCAGGGGGCATCTGGGACCCCTGCCACTCAGGGCCTATGGGCCTACAGGCTAGGAGCAGCCTGGGTCTGGAGGATGTTCCCGTTGCCTGGGAAACACAAGTCTCCCTCCTGCTCTCTGTGGCTGTAGCCATATTTGCATACTTGCTCTGATTAGCTAGCTAACATTTATCAAACCAGGGCCCTAATTATATCCTGTGCTTTTATGAGCACACTAGAGGCCCAGTGCACAAAATTTGTGCATAGGGGGTGTCCCCCCAACCCAGCCTGTACCAATCTGGGACTCCTTGGGGAATGAGTGACTGCTGGTTCAGGTCTGATCTCCAGGTTTGGGCCTAAACCAGAAGTAGTAGGACATTCCTCTCACAATTCGGGACCACTGGCTTCTAACTGCCACCTGCCTGCCTGCCTAATTGTCCCTAACTGCCCCCCGCCTGCTGACCTGGTCTCCTCTTACTTCCCACCCTGCCAGCCTGGTTACCCCCAATTGCCCCCCAAGCTGGGTTGGTTGCCCCTAACAACTGCCAGCCTGGTTGCACCTCACTGTCCACTCCCACTACCCTGGTCACCCCCAACAGCCTGCTGCTTGGTTGTTTGGTTACTCCTCACTAACCCCCTTGCCAGCCTAATTGCCCCACATAGCCTGTTCAATCATCTGTTCAATGGTCGCCTAGGCTTTTATATATATGTAATCAGCTTATAAACTACTTGAAATCAGAAATCATGTCTTACTTCTGTGTATACTCCATCCATAGAGTAGGTGTTGAATAAATGTTTGATATTTAATTTTGTGAATTACTGAGTTTTCATCATCTCTAAGTAATATTTTCATTTAACTCACAATTAAGGGCAAGTATGATTATATTTATATTGATATTTTAATTATTTGAATAACTTTTAAAAGATACTTTTAATGTGACTAGGTCATAAACTTTAATATTATATGAAAATAGCTTAAGTAATGGTAGTATTACAGGATTTCAATTTTGAAGACTTTTTTCCATGGCTCTGCATCTGTGTTTTCAGGGATTTCCACCTGCCATTTCTCAATCTAAAAATAAAAACATGCAAATATATATTGTATAGCAAGTACAAAGAGAGAAAAAAATATTTTTACTTCTTATCATTTACAGTACTATAATGTGGCTTTTGTTCAGGTTTTATAAATTAAAATAACACAAAACTTGAGTTAAATGTGTCTTTATTGCTAGCAAAAACTAAGTCTGCTCTACACAGCTGTGTTTAAAAGAAGAGTATTGTTTATAATGGAATGTTTTATATATTCAAAATGCTTTGGCAGTGTAATACAGGTGTTCTCTTTGGGAAAGTTTGCACATTTTTTGGAAATAATTATTGATGTAAAGTGAATTTTAATTATCAAAACTGATAAGTCATTTGTGGGCTTATTAAAGCAAAACCATATTTTTTTTTAACAACCAGGTGTGTAGAATTACATATCTGTAATAATAAAAGCATAATATTCTAATTAAACTGGACAGCCAAACTACTTTCTAGGCATCATCTGGATGTCCTTCCAGATAAAGCCATTGCCATGGGGGCTGAGGCAGAGATGGTTAGGGGCAATAAAGCAGGCAGAATGGATAGTAGTAGTCAGGCAGGTTAGTGGTGATCAGGCAAACAGTTAGGGACAAGAGACAGACAGGTGATTGGTTAGGGGTGATGAGGCAGGCAGGCAAAGTGGTTAGGGAATATCAGGTAGGCAGGCATGAGGGTGGTTAGGAGCCAGAAGTCTAGATTGTGAGAGGGTGAAGGTTGGGCTGAGAGACCCACTCCCTGTGCATAAATTTTGTGCACCAGGTCTCTAGTACTCTCAATAAGCCTTTACAACAATATTCTTAAACTAGGGGCCTAGTGCACACATTTGTGCACCTTGAAAGGAACTGTGGGCTGAGAGGCTGCAATGGGCATAGGGGCAGGTCTAAGCCCACTCTCTACACCCCTGCCTTGCCCCTCCCACCATTGCCCCTGGTCCCCTGTCTGACAGCAACCCACTGCCATCATTGCTGCTCCCACAGACTAATGGTGTTGGCCCAGGTACAAAAGCTGATGGTGCAGAGCAATTGGGGCCAGCACCAACAGCAGGTATGAGCATGGCCAGTGCCATCAGCAGGTTTGACCAGTGTCTGGTTCCCCAATCATCCCTCAGAGCAGGGGGAGATGGTGAAGACCTCAGGGGCAATTGGGGCCTGCAGCCACCACTTGCACCCACTTATGGTGCTGAGTGATTAGAACTGGAACCAGGCACTGGAAGTGAGTGTGAGCAGCAGCAGCGGCACTGGCTGCGGGTGTGAGTGGGGCCAGCTCTGAGTGTGACCAGGGCTGTTGCTGGCAATAGGTGCAAGAGGAAGCTCCAGAGCTGGCAGTGGTTTGAGTGGGGTTAGCATCAGCAGCAGGTGCTTGTGCTGGATGGGACTGCAATGCACAGCAGCAAAGAATTTTTAGTGACCGCCAGACGCTCGCCCCTATGACAGCGACGGCCTCACCTTGGTCTGGAGCCCCTGCTCATCTGCTCTGCCATGTTCCGTGCTCTGTTGCCTGCTGTTGATGCCCACCATGTTCTGTGTGTGCCCCTGGTGGTCAGCACATGTCATAGTAACAGGTTGTTCAGCTGTTTGGATGTTCCACTGTTCAGTATACCAGTATACTTGCATATTAGCCTTTTATTATATAGGATTATCCAAATCAAACAGAAAAATTAAAATAAAATAATGAAGCTTATTCAAAAAGAAATTGAGAGCCTACGTGTAGTACCTGTTAAAAGAATAAATTAAAAGAATCTTACAGGGTTTGGAAAATATAAAATAAAAATTTAACTGCCCAATAAAAAAACGAAACTAATTAGTATTACAACTGACTTCAGTAGATCCCCACTTGCTCTCAGGAGTATTTATAAGACCCTCAGTGGATGCCTGAAACTGTGGATAGTAAGGAACCCTATATATACTGTTTTTTCTTATACATGCACTCCTCAATTTATAAATTAGGTAAAGTAAGAGATTAACAATAAAAACTAATAATAAAGATATGTCAATTATACCAATATACTGAAATAAAAGTTATGTGAGTGGGCTAGGAACCATTATTAAAAACATAAGGTTTAATTTAAACACAAGCACTGTGATATTGTAATAGTAGATGTGATAACTGAAAGCTACTAAGTGATAAGGGTTGATTTACATCCTGGGCAGGATAGAGTGGGTTGGTGTGAGATTTCATCATGTAACTCAGAACAGCAGTGTGCAATTTAACCGTAGGAATTATTTATTTCTGGAATTTTCCATGAAATATTTCAGACTGGGGTTGACCACAAGTAACTGAAATGGGAGACAGTGAAACTACATATTAGGGGTGACTATATATTTTTAACTTTTTTATATTATATTTATTTGTCCTCCACACTGATTAAGCTATTGATAAATTCTATGCCATTGAATTAAAATTACATACACTATACGATAACATTGCACTTAACATTTTATAAGTTAGTTACAGTATATGTATATGTATAAATTTTTCTTTTTAAATTTTAGTAACTTTCCAGGGATGGCAGTGTAGTATATCTGAAAGAAAATTCTTCAAATGATTTGATTTTTAATATTTCTTTGAGAAAACCAACCTAAAGTAACAATCTTTGTTGATGCTTGCTCAGATCAGGTGGACCAAAACAGCAGGAAGTGCCTCTGACAGATTCCAAGACTCAAGTGTCTTCAATGAGACTTTAAGGATTACAAATATTCAGCGAAACCAAGGAGGCCGGTATTACTGTAAAGCAGAAAATGGCTTGGGGTCCCCAGCGATAAAGTCAATCAGAGTGGATGTGTACTGTAAGTAAATTTTCCAGAAAACTGATTAAGCACTATTTAGTTGAGAATGAGAGGTATATAAGATAATATCTCATATAATATATTTCCAAAAGAAAAAAATATCCTATAGAAAATTTCATAATTTTATGATAAAATAATACATATTATTTAAAGAACATTTAAGAACCAAATGAATAAAACAATAAATATAATTGAATGTTTCACCAATGAATTAGTAGTGTTGAATGCTTGTTAATTTTATACATGTGTAATTTTAACTATCCTTGTTTTTTTTAATGCTTATCATGTATATAGATCTATTTGATAGTAAAATGCCAAAATCTTTGTGTTGACTGGTTTTGATCCAACTCTGTTGAAAATAGTCAGAACCTCAAAAAATGTGCCACGTGGAAAGTGTTTATTGATTTATTTTAGTTCTTAGTCTCATTTTCCCACTTCTTGCTGTTAACAAATACACTTAAAACCCTTTGGTCTCCTTACTTTCTTCCCCACCAAAACAAATTAAAGTCCTGCAATCATTTTGATATTTTTAACAGATTTATTCACTATTCCATTGTCTCTTTAGAAGAACTTAAATTTCATTTATTAATTCCTTGGTGTTAGAATAACAGGATTTTTTTTCTTGCCTTAAAGTAATTCAGGCATAAGTAACAAGTAAAGAATTCTGGGTTTACTACCTATATTTCATTCTGTTCTATTTCCTTTTCTTTCAATGCATGATAGGATTTGCATAGTTAGAAAAGTGATTAGAACTACACTAGATCTGTTTATCAGATACCATATAATATAATATAATAAATTATATTTTATATTATATTATATTATATTATATTATATTATATTATATTATATTATATTATATTATATTATATTATATAATTAATATTCAGGTGACTCAGCATTGGGTGACAGGGCTTGATTTGTGAGTAGCCTTCCACATTCAGGTGCTTGCTTCCTTTCTGGAAAGGCTGAGAGAGAATAAATCCATTGTTTAGCCCCTTAGGTATTTCTTGGAGTAACTTGGCATCTGCATGTCATCTTCCTGTCCTCACTGGCACACAGCTTACCATACACTTCCCAACCTCAGTATTACACCTTCTCCTGTTATATATACTTTAAAATTTTTTAAAGTATTTCTATTCATATGTAATTTTAAACTAAATTTACTTTAAATGAATTAAATGCTTCTATAACTACTTAGAAGTTATAGAAACATTTTGTTATTGTAATTTTTTAAATACACAACTTTAATATCTAATTACAATTCTAAAATCTAAAATGTTCTGAAAATTGAACAATATATATATTGTTTGATTTTATAGGTGACTTTTTTTTTTTTTAGCAAAACTTGATGTGATCTAGTTAGATGGCAACATCTGACCTGAACTAACTGTAATAGAAAAAAATAGAAGATACTTTATACAGTTTATTTACCGTATTTTGTATGAATAATCATATGTTTTACTCAGAAAAAAATGTGTTTGATTACACAGCTTTGCCCCAGGTCCAACTGAGTGTGTCATATAATACATGGTAAATGTATCATATTATCTTCCTTAAATCTGAGATATTCTGAAAAACACACCCCAAAGGTTATGAATAAGAGTTTGTGACTTGCATTGCCACAATAGGTTTAATAATAACAACTTAAAAATATATTTTGGTTAACAATCTAATACAAAGAGGGAACTGACATTTTTAAGGATGTTTAAAAACATTCCTTTCTCTCCTTCTTCCTACAAAACCTTTTCAGTACTATTCTGCATTGCATCCACTCTTCTATCTGTTCATATCTCTGGCTGTTCAGACTCAGTAGTGCCTCAGTGACTTAGTTCCCATTGCATACTTAGGTGGAAATGGTAGCAATGGTCCTTCTAGTTTGTCAGACCCTGATACTGTAAGGCTTGTGTCACCTTCCTGAAGGCTAGCTCTGTTCCCTACTTATGGATGTTTCCCCCTAACCTGAGCTAACAGTTGTTCTATATTGTTTAAGTGAAATATCACTGTGATGCAAACCATAATGAAGCACTATTCTCAGTATTTTTTTTTGGTGGCCAGGATTTATTAGAAAGCTGTCTAAAATTATATTTATTATATTATATTATATTATATTATATTATATTATATTATATTATATTATATTATATTATATTATATTAAATGTTATGTTATATTATATTATACAATAAACTGTATTCAATTATGGAGTCTATGGATGTAAATTTTCCAAGGAATGCCAGAGATCTTTCTTCATGGGATTAAGACATGTGTTTTCAGGAGTTATGCGTTTCTTAAAGGTTTGGATAAACTCCTTCAGATAATAATTTTTCAAAAATTTCTGACTGATAAGAACACTTCACAATAGAGACAATTAGGCCTATTTGATAAATTCACCTGTTCCAAATATCACCTACTTGAAGACAACAGTTTTTAGGTGTAAGTATGTTTTCTGTACATGAAACTTCACAAGTTTAAACAAGTTCCATCTCTGTTATTAAAAAGGTAACAACTTATTAATGCTATGTTTAAATATGGCAGCCTTGGTGCCTAAAATGAGATTACAGTGTTACATATAGCAGTGCTGAGATTTTTAGTATTTGATGTGGAACTACTTGATTGGATAGTCATTTTTATGAAGTAGACAGAGGCCCGAAGCACAAAATGTTAAAAAATATATTTTTAAACAAGTAAGCTACTTTACTTCAGGCCCTTTGCTTTAAGTATTTTTGAAAATTCTAAAAAATAGGAGCTATTTTCCTGTTGGAGTTGTGGTTTTAGAATAATCACCTGTACTGGATGCATTTATATTTTATTTTCTAAATTGGTTCCACAAATGAAACTTGCATCAATCTTAGGAGAACTTAAAACACAAGATGGGCATAAAATAAAATTACCAAAACAAACAAACAAACAAAACAAACCCAAAAATCTGCAGTTAAAGATTATATTTGCAATGACAAATTGAGGCAGACTATGGAATGGATATAACAATTTTTAAATGATTAATATTATAATTTAGTCTTTAACTTCTTGTGATAGGTTGCCTATAAAAATTGCCCCATAAAATATTAATTTTATGGCCATCTCTAGTTCTGGAGCATTATCCAAATTGTGAAAATATTATATCTTATTAAATTTCATGTTCTAATAGTTACTTTCTAGACTTGAGAGCTAATACCTATCTAAAGTTATAACCCCTTATCTTTTTAATTCTTTAAAAATATATTTTATTGATTTTTTACAGAAAGAAAGGGGAAAGATAGAGTGCCAGAAATACCAATAAGCGAGAAACATTGATCAGCTGCCTCCTACAAACCCCCTACTGGGGATGTGCCCACAACAAGGAATACACCCTTGACAGTAATCAAACCTGAGACCATTCTCACTATCTAGTGAGCCAAACCAGTTATGACCGTGGTCAGTAAACTGGCTCTGGAGCCACATGCAGCTCTTTGGCCCCTTGAGTGTGGCTCTTCCACAAAATACCATGGCTTGGGTAAGTCTCTTTTGAAGAAGTGGCATTAGAAGAAGTTTAAGTTTAAAAATTTGGCTCTCAAAATAAATTTTAATTGTTGTACTATTGATTTTTGGCTCTGTGGACTAATGAGTTTGCCGACCACTGACTTAGGGCATAACCCCTTATTATTTTGATGAAGAAATTTACTTTCAGAAAAGAGGAATCTGTCACAATTGATTAATATAGAATGAAGTTATTTTTATTAGACAGATATTTTGAAGTATTTGTGACACTATATCAATATTTTAATGAATTTGAGGAAATTAAATAATGTAAATTAGTAATTCTCTCCATTTAATTTTCTAAAATTTCTTATGTTAAAAAGATTAATTCACTTTGATTTTATAAAGCAATTGCAAAATGTATTTTTGTTTGTTTACTATTTCAATCAAGAATATGATTGGTTCTGTATTATTATTTTGAAAAAATATTATAATTATGTTCCTCAATTTAATATAACCTATCTCTTTGTTTTCTAAAAATTATAAATGCATTATAATTATCTGAAGTGTAATTTCTTAATAATAGTTTATTTATAAAGAGGCGGATTTTATAATCACATAATTAGTTTTTTTCATAATATCTGGCCTAGTCATGTATACAAATATATTTTTTTTATCAAAAGCCAATTAATTACACTAGGCTCTGAGCATCCAGTTGTCAGATTCTGAGAAGCTACTTTCTTAGGAGATTCTGAAAACTAAAGCTATATGTTTAAGAGAAACATGTAGAATTAGTTTTATTTAAACCTGCTGGGTTTTTTTGTTTGTTTTGTTTTTTTGTTTAAACATATTTTTATTGATTTTAGAGCAGAAGGGAGAGTGAGAGAGAAACAGAAACATCAGTGATGACAGAGAATCATTGACAGGCTGTTTCCTGTATGTCCCCGCTGGGATCCGACCTACAACTTGTGCATGTGCCCTTGACTGGAATAGAACATGGGACCCTTCAATCCACAGGCCAATCTTCTATCCACTGAGCCAAATGGCCAGGGCTAAACCTGTTGTTTTAAACATATGCATTCTTTTTTTTTTTTTTTAATATATTTTACTGATTTTTTACAGAGAGGAAGGGAGAGAGATAGAGAGCTAGAAATGTTGATGAGAGAGAAACATCGACCAGCTTCCTCTTGCACACCCCCACCAGGGATGTGCCCGCAACCAATGTACATGCCCTTGACCGGAAACAAATCCGGGACCTTTCAGTCTGCAGACCCACGCTCTATCGCTGAGCCAAACCGGTTTCGGCAAACATATGCATTCTTTATGTCTTCTCCCTATGCAGCTATACTAAAACAATAGTAAAAGGATAAAATATCAATCACAACAACAAAACACAGAGCAATAGGGGCAGAGAGAATGAGAAAGGAGATGGTAGAAAAACAATTATGAAGGAAAAGAATCAGGTCAAGAAATGGCCTCTGCTTAGCATACATCAAAACTGTCAGTATGGGTAGAACTAGGTATGCTTATGTGGCAGAACC